AACCCCTTGCCACTCAACTCTAGACAGCGCTAACATTTTCATTTATAAAATATACAATGTGCTGTTTTAAATTTTTTCATTTATATAACCTATAATTGATAGCATATCATGTTGCTATAACTATTATAATTATTTTCGAAGCTACTTGTTATTCTATTTCATATTATTACTAGTAGTTATAAGATTGTAAAGTATAGAACTAAACCATTGGGTGATGCAGAATATTACAAAGTAACTAAATGTTTAAGATAATATTCTGTATCCAATGTTTGTGTTCTCTATTGTACAATACTGTAGCCATTGGCCACAGTGATTATTTAAATTATTTCGAATTAAAAATTCAGTTCACTTGTGGTTAGCAGCCACCTATTAGTAACAGATACAGAACATTTCCATCATTACAGAAAGTTTTGTTTATAACCATCCTAGTGCATACATTGTTATGGATTTTTCAGATTATTGCCTGGGTAAATCCTAGAAAGGGAATTACTGAGTCAAAAGGTATACAGAAATAAAATGTTGATGCATATTACTAAATTGCTCAGTAATAGTAGGGCTAATTTACATTTCCACCAAAGAGACACTGGCAGCCCAGCCTTTAAAAAGACAGGACATATATATATAATACTTTTTCTGTGCTCTAAGGACATATCCCAAATTTGCCAGCCTCTACTTCAATGAACTAAAAACAAGTTTTATTTTTATAAAATAATCTATTTTCTATGACTTTTTTGATGGGATAATACTGGATATACTAAGTTCTCAAAAAATTGATTTGATTCATAATGGAAAACAGTTTTTATATTAATAATAGTTAGACATCTTCTAACCTTTTTAAAGACATATTTTCTGTAGAAATGTGAATTTCAGGGCTGGGGATGTGGCTCCAGCGATAGCGCGCTCGCCTGGCATGCGTGCGGCCCGGGTTCAATCCTCAGCACCACATACAAAGATGTTCTGTCTGCAGATAACTAAAAACTAAATATTAAAAATTCTCTCTTTAAAAAAAAAAAAAACTGGAAAATACTTTAAAAAAAAAAAAAGAAAGAAATGTGAATTTTAGGTTTCTTCTGGGACTCTCAGGAAGGTCTGTTATAATGCTCGAGGTTGTGCTTCTTCCAGGCAGCACAGCATTCTCAGAAGCAGTCTACTGAGCTCTTCCAGTGCATGTACTTTAAAGACAAGGACCCTGAAACTGAGGAGCGATGCATATCTGATGGAGTTATTTACTCAATTAGAACAAATGGTGTGCTTGTATTTATACCGAGGTATGTCACATCCAATGCAATAGGTAATAAGAAATCAGAATTAAACTAAAAATGTAGAACCAAAACAGTACATTAGATATAATTTACTAAAATATTTATTTAGGGCTAGGGACATAGCTCAGTGGTAGAGTGCTTACGTAGCATGCACAATGCCCTAGGTTTGACCCCACAGACTGCAAAAAATAAAAATATTAAGCAACTATTTATAAAGTTACTATAGATACAAAACGGGGGCAACTGGCCATTTTAGTGTCACCTGGGACCCTGGGCCCCCCTCCTGGGACAGAAGGGCTTGGGCCGGGCCAGCATCCACCTACCTCTTTGGGGCATCCTCTCACCCGTGGGACCCTTTCCTGAGAGGTTGATCCCTAGGATACTCCCGAGTACATATGTATGTCCATCTATATCTATTTTAGGATCTTACGTAGCTAAATATTTTGTGTTCTCATTTGCTATAGAAAAATAAATAAACCATGGGAAAAGTGGTATTTTTAATCAAGAAGAAAAACTAGCATCCTAGATAAACATACAATATCTATATACTAAGTACATTATCTCTGAATTTTTATTCTGGCCCTGATTCAGGTTTGGGATTAAAGGTGCTGCTTATCTAAAAAATAAAGATGGTTTAGTGATCTCATGTGGTCCAGATAGTCGTTCCGAATGGAAACCAGGATCTCTTCAACGATTTCAAAACAAAATAATCTCTACCACAACAGCAGGGCAATCTGTTACATTCCATTTGTTTGACCATGTGACAGTAAGTCTATATTTACATTAAGTATTATTTTCATTGTAAATAACAAAGAATTTGATTTAGTAATATGTATTTTTTTCCTCCATGATAGGTAAGAATATCTGTACAAGCCTTGCGTTGCCATTCTGATACAATCAGGCTTGAAATAATAAGCAACAAACCATACATGATACCAAACACAGAACTTTTTCATCAGAGTTCTCTCTTGCTGAAGAGTGAATTAGTGAAAGAAGTGACCAGATCTATGGAAGAAGCTCAGCTTGCCCAAGAAGTCAAAGTAAACATCATTCAGGAAGAATATCAAGAATACTGCCAAACAAAGGGGCAAAGTCTATACACACTTCTAGAGGAGATAAGGGACCTAGCTCTCCTAGATGTTTCAAGCAATTACAGGACATAAAATATTCTTTGAACTTTATCTTATGTGTTTTAACATTCTTTCAAACTTCTAATTTGGTGTTACTCAGGAATACAGTTGCTCAAGATTGGAGAGGTATTTCATATATGTATAAAATATTCTTTCATAATTCACTGAAGTTGTTAAAAAGTAAAACTAGATTACTAAGTAAACTGATTTTTCAGCTAGGATGGCGGTGCAAAGCAGGTTGCTAGCCTAATTTTCATAAACTTAGACTTAATTTTTAGTTATCTTGTCTCAAATCAATTCTTACCAAAAAAAAAAAAAAAAAGGTCTTATTGAAAAAAATAATTGCCTCATTGGGACAAAAGTGCCAGTGACATAGTCCCTTCTAACATCTATCAAATAACTTTTCAATCACTTTCAGGGAAGACCCAGTCCTGTCCACCTATCCACTTTAAAACTCCTCTACTTCAAACTTTCCCAGTTGTCCCAGCACCAGATGGGGATAGGGCATAGAGAGGGCAGTGGGATACATAGCAAACTATTATCGCAAATCTCCTTTCCCACACCACCCCCCATTTTGTTGTGTATTCCTCTGATAATGAGGTATGTTGGATTCCACTTGTTGGAAACTTGTTAATGCCAGTAAATCCATCATCGGAAAAACAACCCCCCCTCTCCCAATCCCCTCCTCATCTAGATCATGATTATGGACAGAGGCTTGAACAGGGACTCCTGGGAAGCAGTTTCTCTAGGCATCAATGGCAACTCCATCATCTAGCTGACTGCTTATTGGCAACAATAAACCATGATCCTCTTGATACACATGCCTCCTGGCCCATCACTAATGGCAATTTGTATCAAGCACACAACCCATACGTTGTTCTTGTGCTTAACTTCCTGGATTTTCAATCAAACCATCTTTGTCACTTCCTCTCTCTATCTGAAGTCAGAAAGCCTGAAAAGCTCTGTGAAGATGTCCATCTATCCTGGCTTTATGGATGGAAGCAAATGTAGCACCATCACTCCACTCTTTCCCTAAGAGGTAAGAGCATTTCTTTATAAATACTTATAACATTTATATTTTTATAAATATTTATAATCTTTCTCATAAGGGGGGAAAAAACTTCCTAAAAACTGGCTTAGTTCTTTCCCTCCTCTCCATAGGAATCTCCTACCAAGAACCAGATCTTCTTTAAACTTGTTGTCAACATGATCCTTTCCCATCTCTAATTAACCTCTCTATCAACCTGATAAAGCAGGCAAGGAGAACTCTAATCAGGTCCTTTCTCCATCTGGTCCCAACACTTATAGCTTCATAGTCATCAGTCCCAAATCTTCCTTATTTCCTAAATCTTTATCTCTGTGTCATTGTACAATGTTCTTCCCAATACTTGGACCCAACTGAAAGGTCAATCTGTTGAATTCACTTATGAATCATCCCTCAGTCTGTGTTACTCATAATATTGGGCAAATTTCCTCCCAACTATTCAAAAAGGTAGCAAGGAGCATTCTTTGAACTTCCCCAGAATCTATGATGGTTAGATAATACGTTGGCCTTTCATTTGCCCTTTTAATTATTAAAGTGACTCCTCAAACTACAGGCAACACTGTGAACATTTTATCAAAAATATAATTGCAGAACAGTGATCAAAAACTTTCACAAAGTTTCCGAAGACATTTTTATTTCTTTTTAAAAACAGACATTAGGGGACTAGGGTTGTGGCTTAGCAGTAAAGTGCTCCCCTAGCACATGTGGGGCTCTGGGTTTGATCCTCAGCACCACATACAAATAAAATAAAGGTATAGTGTCCAACTAAAACACAATATTAAAAAAAAAAAAAAAAAAAACAGACATTAGGGGGGCTGAAGGTGTAACTCAGTGGCAGAGAATGCTTGCCTAGGATGTGCAAGGCCCTGGGGTCAATACCCAGTGCCATGAAAAAAATTAATTAAAAAGTGACACCAAGGCTGGGCACAGTGGTGCATGCCTATAATCTCAGTGGCTTGGGAGGCTGAAGCAGGAGAATTTCAAGTTCAAAGCCAGCCTCATCAAAAGTGAAGCACTAAGCAACACAGTGAGACCCTGTCTCTAAATAAAATACAAAACAGGGCTGGGGATGTGTCTCAGTGATCGAGTGCCCCCGAGTTCAATCCCCATTACCAAAAGAAAAAAAGTGACATTAAGCCTGGCACAGTGGCACACACCTGTAATCCCAGCGGCTCAGGAGGCTGAGGCAGGAGGATTGTGAATTCAAAGCTAGCCTCAGCAGCTCAGTGAAGCTCTAAGCAACTTAGCAAGATCCTGTCTCTAAACAAAATTTTAAAAGTGAAGTCAAGTCAGGCTTGGTGACACATAATTGCAATCCCAGTGATCTGGGGAAAAGGTAGGTGGATCACAAGTTCAAGGACAACCTCAGCAATTTAGCAAGACCTGTCTTAAAAAGGGCTCAATGGTATAGCATTCCTAGGTTTAATTCCCAGTAGCACCCCCCCCAAAAAAATTTAAATACATATTTACATCTTAAAACATGCAATTTAGTGGAAATAAGGCATTTAATACACACTAGTATTAGAAGCTGCTTAACTAATAATCACTTTATGAAGTCATATCTATATATAAAAAAAAGACTTTACTAATATTAGTGACAATTATAAATAAATATCAGAGTTTAAACAAGAATCCAAACACTTTTACTACATAAGGGTTTTCTTACAAAGCAGACAAAATACACAATAATCCCAAACTTGCAGAAGAGTTAATAGATACTTTTTCTAGGGGAGGAGTATCTAACTTTGATAACACTTCTGGATGAAGCATAAAATTACCTTTGCACATTTTAAAAGGATTGGTCCAGTTGTGTTTCCTCTAATTTTAATTGCTCCTCTTCATATACAGAAGCATCATTATGTGAACTGACTAAAATGTCTTTGTTTAATCCATTTGACTCCTCATTTTGGTCTTCATCAATACAAATCTCTTCAACTGTCTGTGCCTTGGGTGTATTCATTAACATGTCTAAAGGAAAAATTATATTATTATTATTCATAAGGACCAGATTCAATCTTATATCCAAGGTATAAATATCTTCAAAAGCTTGGGTTAGTAGAAATAAAACCTATGATCATTTAATTATGATTACTTTTTTTGTTGTTACCACGGATTGAACCTAGGGGGACTCAACCACTGAGCCACATCCCCAGCCCTTTTTTATATTTTATTTATCACTGGGTTGCTTAGGGCCTCACTGAGTTGCTGAAGCTGGCTTTGAACTTGCCATCCTATTGCCTTAGCCTCCTGAGCTACTGGGATTACAGGAGCCACTATACCCAGCTTGATTACACCTAATCCTATGAGATTTTTACACTTGTATAAAGTCCACTTAAAATGCAAAGGGTCTTGGGGCTAGGTGAATAGCTCAGTGGTACTATGTGTGCACTTAGCAAACCCCTGCTCTATACTAGGGATCAAACCTAGGATGCTTTACAATGAACTACATCCCAAGCCCATTTTATTTGATAAAGAGTCTTGAGCTGGGGTTATGGCTTGGTGGTAAAGCAATCGCTTAGCATGTGGAAGGCCCTGGGTTCGATCCTCAGCACCACATAAAAATAAAGATATTGTTTTAAAAGAGTCCTGCTAAATTGCTGGGACTGGCCTCAAGCCTGTGATCCTCCTGCCTCAGTTTCTCAAGTAGCTGGGATTATGGCATGGGCCACCACACCTGGTGCAAGGGGTCTTGAATGATACTAAACTCCAACTTTTAAAAAAATTTTTGGTATTAGGATACTTTACCACTGGGCTATAGCTTCAGCCCTTTCTTTTTTTTAGTTTGAGACAGAGTCTTGCTAAGTTGTTTAGGGCCTCACTAAATAGCAGAGGCTGCCCTTGAACTTGTGATCTTCCTGCTTCAGTCTCCCAAGCTGCTGGGATTATAGGGATGCACCACTGCACCTGGCTTAAATTCAAACTGCTGACTCACAACCAAGTGTAACTTCTCATTCAAAATCAGAACTACTTGAAAGAGGTTCAAAAAATCAAATGCATAATAATTTTATGTCAAAGTGATCTAAAGTAAAGAAAATTTAGGAAAATTACTTTTATTTGGGCAAATTTTAAGTTATATCTTATAAAGAGGTTAGACTTAAATACCTATTACCAGGTATATATTGAGATGGCAAGAAAGCCACTACTGTTAATTTTATCTTCATGTAATTTATTTTTGTAGTTGTAGATGAACAGAATACCTTTGTTGTATTGCTAAGTATCGGACCAAGTGCCTCACACATGCTAGGTAAGTGCTCTGCCACTGAGCTATAGTCCCAGCCCAATATTCATGTAATTTTTCACATGGTACTAATAAAACATTGGTAAAGATAAAAACTAAGTTCATTTTAGCTGAAAAAATATCATGACTGGTAGTCACAATATTTAAGAATGTTGTAATATTAAGTGAAACTTGTTTTACAATATGGTCTTTACTTACCATATAATTATTTTTCCCACTTTGAAGGAAAAATCTAGAAACTGAGAAAACTTGTGATTCTTTTTAAATATAGTTTTAATGCTTATTTATATAGCATTAACCCCATAATCATTTTTAAAAACAGCAAATTTAAAGCTGAGGATATATAACTCAACTGTAGAGCAGGTACATTATCATACACAAAGCTGTGGGTTCAATCCCTGGCTCCAAATAAATAAAGAGCAAATCTTAAGGCAGTTTGTAAAGTGGGAAGGGATAAGCAAATGAACAGCCACCAAAAGTGCACCTCATAACAGAACACAATACAATAAAAAGAATTTTAGTGGGGCTGGGGTTGTGGCTCAGCGGTAGAGCGCCCGCCTAGCATGTGCGAGGCCCTGGGTTCGATTCTCAGCACCACATAAAAATAAATAAATAAAGGTATTGTGTCTAAAAAATAAATATTAAAAAAAAAAAAAAAAATTTTAGTACCTATTTGTATCACAACAAATGGCTCTAAAATTCTCAATTGGTCTATGATTTAAAGTCAGGGAAGAATATATTTTTGAACAATTCAGAATCCTAGGAGATATTGAGCTATCCAGAAAACCATCTTAAACTCATTCTTTCAATATTTCCAAATAGCTCTCTTCCCCTCCCTCCCTCCCTCCCTCTCTCTCTCTCTCTCTCTCTCTCTCACACACACACACACACACACACACAAACTTAATATCACACTTTTCCATTCCAGGAGGTAGTTTATTTAGGTAGATAGTAGAGAAGTTAAAATTTTCAACATGCGTATGATATATTAATGGCAACTCATAAAACCAAGCATAAAATTTACCATTTCCTAGGGACTGACTATTACTCAGTAGCTTTGCCTGCCTTCTTTCCAAGGCCAGTTGTTTATTTCTCTCAATTCTTTGTTGTTGCTCTTCTGTTAGGTTTCTACTTAACTCAGAAGCAAACTTCTCACTTTCAGATGAGTCTGTCAAAAAGGGATCTAATTCGGCAGCAGTTACATCAAGGCCTTTGCTTTCCCCCACTTCATCTGCAGTAGAAAAGAAAAAATTAGTACAACTGAAGCCTTAGAAAAAAAGAGATTATGCAGATTTTAACTGAAAAGTGGCTTGAAGAGGCAATAGGTCATGGCACAGTGATACATGCCTGTGATCCCAGTAACTCAGGAGGCTGAGACAAAAGGATCCCAAGTTTGAGGTCAGTTTGGACCCTATGCTAAAATAAAAGATAAAAAAGGGCTGGGTAGGGATGTAGCCCCTGGGTTCAACCCCAGTATGAACAAAAGAAAACAAAACATAATAAAATGGTGGCAAGTGGCTGCATCTGAAGAAACAATTCATGAGGTATGAGAATATTGCAAATACATGCTTGATTCAAACAAGTAAAAGAAAAAAAAAATTTTATTGGGGAATACTAGGAATTGAACCCAGGGGCACTTAGCCACTGAGAAACATCCCCAGCTCTTTTTATTTTGAGATAGGATCTTGTAAAATTGCTTAGGGCCTCACTAAATTGATGAAGTTGACTTTGAATTTGTGACCTCCTGCCTCAGCCTCCCAAACTGCTTAAATTATAGATATGTGCCACCACACCTGACCAAGAAATTTTTATAAAACACCTTAAAGGTGCATGTTTAGTCAAATGAAAATATTATTAAGTGGCAGAGTACTTGCCTAGCATACGCAAGGTCTTGAGTTAAATCCCCAACACTGCAAATAATAATTAAGAAAAATTAAGTAAGGCACAGTGGCACATGCCTGTAATCCCAGTGGCTCAGGAAGCTGAGGCAGGAGGATCATGAGTTCAAAGCCACACTCAGCAAAAGCACAGCACTAAGCAACTTAGTGAGACCCTATCTCTAAATAAAATACAAAATAGGGCTGGGATGTGGCCTCAGGGGTTAAATACCCCTAAGTTCAATTCCTAGTATCTGCCCCCAACAAAAAAAATTAAATTTTATTAACATATTTAAAATGAGGACTGGGAAGCTGGACACAGTGGCTTACACCTCTAATCCCAGTTATTCAGAAGACTGAGGCAAGAGGATTGCAAGTTTGAGGCCAACCTGGGCAACATAATGAGACCCCATCTCAAAAACTGAAAATAAAATGAGGGCCAAGGCTGAGGATGTGGCTCAGTGAGTAGGGTGCTTGTCCAGCATCCACAAGGACCTGGGTTCAATCCCCAGCATCAAAAGCCAAAAATGAAAAGACTTTAAGTGCTAAACTATCAATTGTCCATATGACAGAATTAGTCTGTTCTATGAACTGAACTGAAAAATGCAAGAAACAGGCCCTCGTTCATTTTCAAAATTCAGCATAATATGACATGGAGATGCTTCTGATTGCCTAGGCAAGTAAACTGACATTGTGTTTTTACCAAACACCAGCAAAATGCACAAGTGGTAGTTTAAAAAGATCTGAAAAAGAACAAAATGCCTTCAGGTAGAATAGAAACACAAGCAAAAAATAACAAAATGGCAGAGATGAGACTTCACTTTCTCTCTGCGTCATCTACATTATGGGATTAAAAAACGATAACCCCAGGGACTGGGATTATGGCTCAGCGGTAGAGCATCCGCCTCACACATGCAAGGCCCTGGGTTAGATCCTCAGCACCACATATAAATAAATAAAGTTATTGTGTCCAACTACAAATAATAAAATATTTTAAAAAGATGTGATAACTCCAACAGATCTGACAAAGCCACTTGAAAATTTTAAATCACTATATCCCCACTTGAAATATGAATTTATATCTCATCCCTGACCTATAATATATATTATGACTTATGATATTAGGTAAAATAGTAGAAAATATCCCAAAATATGAAAATAAACCTCTACAATTACTTAGTGATATATACTTAATCCAGCCCTTTACACAAAACCCTCTTTGGAAACTCCTTCCTTTGTAGTTAAAAAGCCACTTTTCCTTCCTGGAATGGTAAAATATTTATGTGTCAAGAAACTAAAATGCATTCCTTTGTCAAAAAATACTAATAGAATACTAATACTGCTGGAGAAGAAACAGGCATTAGAACCAATTATGAGTGAGGTATTCTTTTTCTTTTAATATTTAGTTTTAGTTGTAGTTGGACACAATTCCTTTATTTTTGTTTATATATTTTTATGTGGTGCTGAGGATGGAACCCAGGGCCTCACACGTGCTAGGTGAGCACTCTACTGCTGAGCCACAACCCCAGCCCCCACCAGTGACGTTTTTAATATGCTTTATCTTACAGAGCTTAGAAGATTCTACATCAATAATAATGAAATACCCAAACAAGTATTTTTCATGAGCCACAAAAGAAAAACTACTTTAGTAGTAAATGATCTCTTTAATATAAACAATGTTGTATGGGGGAAAAGATATGAATGTAACCACTGATGAGGCAGTGTATTGCTTTAACTAGGATATAAAGGGGATAAAAACAAAACCAAAAAAAAAAAAAAAAAACAATTAGCAGGCCTGTAATCCCAGCAGCTCAGGAGGCTGAGACAGGAAGATCGTGAGTTCAAAGCCAGCCTCAGCAAAAGCAAGGCACTGAGCAACTCAGTGAGACCCTGTCTATATAAAATATAAAATAGGGCTGGGGATGTGGCTCAGAAGTTGAGTGCCCCTGAGTTCAATCCCCACTACCTGCCCTCCCCCCAAATTAAAACCCCAGATAACTTAAATCACATTCCTTCACTTTTTTTTAACAGGGTGGTGGGTACTGGGAATTGAACCCAGGGATACTTTACCACTAAGTTACATTCCCAGCCTTCCCCTCTACCTTTTTTTTTTTTTTTAAGGCAGAGTTTTGTTTTTTTTTTTTTAAGGCAGAGTTTAAATTGCTTAGGGACTCACTAAGCTTACCAGGCTAGCCTTGAACTTGCAATCCTCCTGCTCAGGTTTCCAAGTCACTGGGATTACAGGTGTACACCATCACACCAAACTCCTTCTCACTTTTCTTTTTTTTGTGATGCTGGGGATGGAACCCATGGCCTTGTGCATGTGAGGCAAGCACTATACCAACTGAGCTATATCCTCAGCCCCTCCATCTCACTTTTAAAAGCAACTTATAATTAACTTTGGGGGATTCAATATGGAACCTGTATTTCCCACATCTATTAAAAGTTACAAAACATGTATGGAGCCATCGCACAGAAAATCTGATAACTGTACAGATCCTGTCGGCAGGAACCATCTGTGTTAATGTGTGTGACTGTCTATGGTTGCACTGTACAACTAACAAATGCAATCAACATCAGGAACAGTCACATGAGTCTTACTAAAATCCTACATTCAGAATGTGCACTATAAGTGAAATGCAAACTTTCATCATCACTGTATTCTGCCTAATCCAGGGGCACTTAATTACTGAGCCACATCCCCAGTCCTTTTTAATTTTTTTAAATTTTGAGACAGGGCCTCACTAAGTTGCTGAGCCTGGTTTTAAACTTGCGATCCTCCTGCCTCAGCCTCCTGAGCTGCTGGTATTACAGGCATGTGTCACCATGCCCGACCACTCTATCTTGATACATTTTTATTAACAAACACTATAAAGGATTAATTGTCAGACAAATTCTCACAAGTTCACTTTTTTTTGTTTAATTTATTTATACGTGGTGCTGAAAATTGAACCCAGTGCCTCACACATGCTAAGCAAGCACTCTGCCACTGAGCCACAATCGCAGCCCTGCAACTATATCTTTAAGAAGCAGGGCTGGGGCTGGGGCTGAGTGGTAACGCACGTGCCTGGTATGTGTGAGGCACTGGGTTTGATTCTCAGCACCACGTATGAAAAAAAATAAAGATCTGTCAGCAACTAAAAAATATTAAAAAAAAAAAAAAAACAAATTTCAGCCAGGCGTGGTGGCACATGCCTGGAATCCCAGTGGCTTGGGAGGCTGAGGCAGGAGGATCATGAGTTTAAAGCCAGCCTTAGCAATGGCATGTGCTAAGCAACTCAGACCTGTCTCTAAATAAAATACAAAATAGGGCTGGGGATATGGCTTAGTAGTTGAGTGGCCCTGAGTTCAATCCCCAGTACCACTCCCCTAAAAAAGAAAAAAAAAAACAAATTTCATATACATTCTAGATTTCCTAATGCATTTTAACTTGTTCCTATCAACTGTACTGATTATATACACAATACAGATTGAGAACACAGTCCTCTGTTACCTACCCCAACTGGATCCATTTCTAAAAGCAAAATTGTTATAAAGCAAATAAACCTATATACTTACCATCATTGCTAACAAAATCTTCATGTAAAATAGGGAGATCAAGTCGAATTCGTTTTAAACAGGTCTGACAATAAAGAAGATATTTTTACATTTTCATCTGAATGTTAGGAAGAGAAATGATCATTTATTCAATTCTTAGTTTCTAAAGAATTGTCCTTCAAATAAACACTATTAATTTTCCCTCTCTACCACAACAAATTTCAAAATGAAAACCCCAAAATAGCAATCTAACCTCAGCTACATTTACCTTTGTTCTGTTTAGCACTATGAACAACTTTCATAATAATCACAATACTTACCTGCACTTCCTTTTTATTTCCCAGGTATTCAACTCTGTCAATAAAATCCTCAAACTGCAGTTTGGGGAATAGCCTATGTGCCCAGTGCTCCATGTTTCTGATTAGTGTCTTCAAGTCTTCAGCCTGGCACATAAAAATAAAAATGCTAAATAGAAGACTCATTCTCACATTGGCCTTGTCAGCAGATTTCAGAACTGAAAAGAAATGCCAAAGTCATTGGTGTCATATTTATAAGGTTAGGAAACTTTTAGAAGGAAATTTACAAAGAAAAATATTTACTAAGGGCTTGGAGGATTACAGTTCTAAAAGAGCACTGGATACATATTTTTAAAAATCAGAGGAGCTGAAGTTGGGCATGATGGTGCATGTTTGCAATCCTAGATACTTCCAAGGCTGACACAGGAGGATCACAATTTCAGGGCCAACCTCAGAAACTTAGCGAGATCCTATCTCAAAAAATAAAAAGGGCAGAAGGTGTAGTTCTGTGGTAGAACACCTCTGGTCTCAATTCCTAGCCCCACAAAACATAAATAAACAAAATTAAAAAACAGATGAAAAAATACCAGTAAGAAAATTTCCAAGATAATAATATGTGTCTTTTCAGAATTGTAAAGTAAAACCCCAAAATGAGCTTTAATATGTCAAAATATCTCTCAGGAATCCTAACTGGAATAAGTTATAGTCCATATATGTATAAAAGGTTAAAATACACTCTACTATCAAGTGTATCTAAAAAGAACAATAATAATAATAAAAAAAAAAACTTTCAGGAATAACTAAACACTGACAGACCCCAAAATCATATACTTAGAAAAAATCACTGAGAATTCAGAACTGTAAGGAATATATTTAAAAACCCCAAGGGCAGAGACTAGAAAGAACAGTTTAAACATTCTCAAACCATTAATACCTCTCCATATTTGAAATTCCAATTAAGATTTTTTTAAAAAATGTAAATTAAAAATAAATTTTAATAAACTTGACTCATGAAAAGTAAAGTTATAAATTCCTGGTTTTGCTATAAAATATTCATTCTTCACTTTACAGTATTTTAAAATAGGAGAATGATTAAAGCACAGGCTCTACATCAGACTACATAAAGTCAAATTCCAATTCCATCACTTAAAAGCCATTTACATCTCTGTACCTATTTCCTCATGTGTGAGACTAATATACATACCTCACAGGGTTATTGTAAGGATTAATAAAAACAATGTGCCACAGGCATGGTGGAGCATACCTGTAATCCCAGAGGTTCAGGAGGCTAAGGCACGAGGATCACAAATTCAAAGCCAGTCTTAGCAACTTAGCGAAGCCTTAGCAACTTAGCGAGACCCCGTCTCAAAATAAAATATAAAAGGGCTAGGTATGTGGCTCAGTGGTCAAGCACCCTTGGGTTCAATCCCTAGTACCAAAAATTTAAAAATAAAGAAATAAAATAAAAACCCTGATATGGCTCAGTGGTTAAGCACACTGGGGTTCAATCTCAGGTATCAAACAAGCAAACAGTGCACCTGACACTATGTAAATTCTGAAATGTTGCTATTTTTATTTGACCATGACTAGAAGCAAATGTCAAAACTACCAACTCTATCACTGACTAAATATGTAATACTAAGAACACAATCTCTCTTCATTCTCCCCTTCTGATAATAAAGGTATAAATTATTTTAAAGATTCAATTACCTAAAATCATTTTCCAGTTGGAAGTAGCTGATTAACCACCTCACAATGTCACATTAGACACAAAGGAACCAAGAAAAGAAAAAACTGTGCTGGGGGCATAGCTCAGTGGTAAAGCATTTGCTTAGTGCTCTCAAAGTCCTGGGTTCAATCCCCAACATTGCAAAAACATGATAGTTAAAAAAAAAACAAAAAAAAAAAAAACTAAATACAGTTAAGTCCCAAGTTAATATAAGAAGAAAAAGTAGTGAGTGTTCAAAATTGTGAGAAAATAGTAAAAATTTCTAAGGGCAAAATGCAGAATAAAGTAAACTCAAAGCACATTCTGGCCCAATGAAAAAACACAAAATGCCTATTCTTCATACAAACTTACTTATTTTAATAAAGGTTTATTATAAACATGATCAAGACTTCATACATTCAAAGTACCAATTCACCACTAATACCTGAAAATTTCATCTACCACTATCCTATCTCGTCTAGTACTAGTACTACTACTACTATTACTACCTTATCCCTCAGGTAGTACAACAGCCTGAGTTGTTGACGACCTCCAGTTTCTTTCTCCTTACAAATTATCCTGCATACCACACACCTAAATGTTACTGTCAATATTATTTTAGTTGGGCAATTAAACATGAAGACTAGGCTCAGTTTTAATTATTGGCCATTGGTCACTCACTCAAAACCCTAAGTCTGTGACTAGATAATGGGACCATCACTCACGAAAATTAACAGAGAACATATCTGAAATACTTTAAACTGCAAAGCCCTATAAAAAGATTATCTACCAAAAACCTACCTAGCTTTATTATTCAAAGATAAGAGAATTTTAAAACATACATTTATACAGTGTACATCTGTTATTAAATGTTTTCATTTTTTCAAAAACTTTACTGATATCTATTAACCAGACACTGTCTCATATCTTGGGGACATATAAGTGATCAATACAGGCAGAGTCTTTGCCCTCATGAAGTTTAAAATCATTCTTTGAAGAACAAAGTAAATTCTATTCCCTCCTATCTGTGTGTGTGTATTTGTGTTTGCTAATGGGTATTGAACCCAGAGATACTTTACCATTAAGCTATACCTCATCTTTTTTTTTTTTTTTTTAATTTTGAGACAGGTCTCACGAAGTTGCCCAAGCTGGCCTCACACCTGTGATCCTCTTGCTTTCACCTCTCAAGTCATTGGATTACAGGTGTGCACCACCACACCTAGCTTCCTCTAAATTTATAACTTTAAACTCAGGCTTAGAGACTCAGAAATGATTTTACCTAAAGCTATGACTTTACATAATATGTATGTATATCTACATATGATGTGACAAAAAATGAGACTACACAGACATATTTTCTAATTCTTTAAATAGTACCTTTTCCACTACATCACAACTACTTTTCAGGTGATATTATGATTAATGGAAATATTTAAAGATTCTCAAGACCATAATGAGCCCACAGTTTACTGCTATTTTAAAAAACAAGACTAGGGCTGGGGCTGTAGCTCAGTGGCAGAGTGCTTGCTTGGCATGCGTGGGGCACTGGGTTCGATCCTCAGCACCACATAAAAATAAACAAATAAAATAAAGGCGTTCTGTCCCTCTACAACTATAAAAGATATTAAAAAAAAAAAAGACAAAAAGGAAAATAAGACCTTTCTTACCTCATGACCTTTCCCTTTGAATTTTGTCTTATCAAACACATGCCTTAAGGCAGGAAGTCCTCTCTCTGAAATTAATCTGTAAATAGAAAAACATTTTGAATTTCAAGTTTCCTAGAGTAAAGTCCAAACCAAGACCATAGAAAAAAAAATATTTTCTCCTAAATGGAAACAAATGTTTATAGAACAATCTGATTTTCAATTCATCCCAACCCAAAGCTTGTAACATTAGGAAAAAAACAATAGCTATAAAGTATAAATGTGTATGGAAAACACGTACCTCTGAGCATCCAACTTGGGAATATTCCTTTTAACTGTTCTCTTTACAGGTACAGGAACAGGTGCTCTGGTCCCTGACCCTGATGAAATATATCAAGAAGCAGCATTAAATAATTTAAGCCTTACTTACAAATTTATTATTTATAAGCTGATGGATGGATAAGTGAACATGGACACTTTTGTGAAACTCTATACAGACCTTCATCAGGTTCAGCTCCTTCACCATCTCTCTGCGGAGATGCTGGAGGTGGGAAAGGAGGAAAAGTTTCATCTTCTACATGTTCATAATCTGGCAGGTCAACTAAGCCATTCTCTTGCGGTTCTAACATTTTTTTCTCTAGGGGAAAAAAAAAGTAAAATTATTCTTATTTATCCAAAATAATATTCCTATTATACAGTTAAGTTCCAGATGAAGCAAGTTCATGGGTAAGCCACATTTTAGACTCACACATCATAAAAAAAAAAAAAAAAAAAAGAGAAGAAAACAATGAGGAAAAAGACTAGGCTAGAAACTGGCACTGAGTTCTAATATAGACTCTACCACTGAATATGATTTTGAACAAAATCATTTCACATCAACTACTTGATGAGTTAATAAGTACCTGAGACTTGTACTTGATGAGTTAATAAGCACCTGAGACTTCTTTTCAATGGCTTCTGTTTTAAGAATAAAAACCCCAAAGTCATGAGTAAACTGGCCTCTTTATACCTCTTTGGCCCCACTTTACATAACTCTCTTTGCCCCTTCTTTCAGTTCCTTGAAAGAGCCATATCCCTCATGGCCTTGGATCTTTGCAATTGCTATTTCCTATCTTAAATGCTCTTCCCTAACTCCTAATCCCTTTCAGATTTCCATTACCACCTCCTCAGAAAATCTATCCCAATTTCCTCAATTTAAATCCTCTTTTAATAAGCACTGATAATACCAAGTCTCACAGTAATTATCATTTCAACCTTAGGTTTTGTGTGCCTATTTAATGTTTGTTTACCATACTAGACCAGGTAGGGCTCTTTGTGTTCCTCCACTGCATCCCTACTGCTGGTACACAACAGGTGCTCAATATATATTTGTTAGTGAAGGAAGTAGAGAAAAGAATTACAAACCAGGCAAAGTGCCATGCACCTATAGTCCCAGCATGCTAAGACAGGAAGATCCCTGAGCCCAAGCATTCCAGGTCACCCTGGGGAACACACAGACTCAGTCTTTAAAAATAAATAAAACAAGTATATTTACCTCTGTTTCAATTAAGTCCTTTGGAAAGAAGTGGGGTTCAGAAATTCGAGGTTGACAGGGAGCTCTGAGTTTGGTGACAAGGCACAAACTATATTAAGTTCATCAAGGAAGTGTTCGGGCATGGGGCATAGGGCGAGGAGTGTCAGTAAACTGATGCTCCTTAGCTGCAGATCACATTTCCTTCACTTCTTTCACGCCTTGACAATGGTGGCATAACTGCCTCTTTTTAAGACACTGATCAAACTCTTAACTTCCTCCTCTGATCCCCAAACTTTCAGAGGATTGAAGATTAACACACGTAATATCCAAACCACAATTCGTTCCCAGACCCTTCCGTTTCCCATGTCCAACTTTCCCATGTTCCCAAGTCGTCGGAACAGAAGCCCTCTGTCTGACTTTAATTCCCCTGGGTCCCACCGCTGAAAACATCACCCCTCCCAGCCTCCTCTCCAACTCTCCCCCGGTTCAACCGGGTTCATTCACTGCACATCCACAAGGCGCCCTCTGTGTTTATAAGGCCATCTACAGAAGCGGAGGGACCCGGAAGCGCGCTCGCTCCCGCCAGAAGGCTCGGCTTAGCGGCAGGCATCCCTGAACGGCAACTCAGGTAAACGTGCCCGCCCCCACCGGTCCAGGCCGGCCCGGCCGCCCCCCGCTCCAGGCGCGCTCCGCCGAAATCCTGTTCTCCAGCTCCTCACCAGCTCCCTGAGACTCCCCAGCTCCTGTCAAGCTCCGAAAGAAGTCTCCTCACCAAGAACTTCACTCGCGCGGAACCAGCTTTCAGCTCACGCCGCCTGCAGCCTCTGCGCGGTGGGCGCCCCGCTGGACGCAGCGAGTGAACCGAACTTCTCGCGAGACGCCGACACACCCGCAGTGTAAGAGCTCTGGGAGTTTGGCGCCAAATACACGCAGGGCCTGGGCGGGGCCTTTACGAAGCCCCGCCCCGCCACGCGGCCATGCCGTTGTCCACCTGTCCGAATCTTGAGTTTTCCGTGCTTCGGCCGTGCTTCTTCCGAGGGGTTCTTTCTCCTCCTTTACTTAAAGTTCATAGTTGTTACTTCCTGGACACTTTATACTTTGGAAGTGTTGAAAACTGAGTTGTGGAGGAAGTTAAAAAAGGGTAGAGGGAAGCAGTATTGGTTGCAAAACTGCCGTTTTTTCAGAGTTGATGGCGGAATGCCTGGAGCGTGAGTGCGTCTTTTCCTGGGTGCCGGCTGGGGATTGAGCCCAGGGGCCTCCACTGGGCTACTTCCCCAGCCCTTTTTATTTCTTTACTCTGAAGTGGCCTAAGTTTCCCAGGCTGGCATGGAACTTGTCATTGTCACGAGTCGCACTTTGTAGATGCACTTTGTTAACGTAAGTTAACTTTTTTTTTTTTTTTTAAACTAGCCAGGCGCGTCGGGACACGCCTATAATGCCAGCGACTCGTCACGCTGTCGCAGGAGGATCTCCCTCACCTCAGTAATTTAGCGAAACCCTGTCTTAAAAATGGGCTGGGGGGTATAGCGTAAAGCGCCTCAGGTTATTTCTCCCAAAAAAAAGAAGAAAGAAAAGAAAAACAAAAATGATATCTGCAGCAAATTATCTAACCATCCCGATTTGGCAAACCCAAAAGATAAAGTGTTAGCAAGAATATCCTAGGTACTTTTTTTTTTTTTTTTTTGGTACTGGCATGCCTCCGTTTTTTGAGCTACACTTTCAACCATCTCTACTTTTCTGTATGTTGAAATTAAAATTTTAAAGAATGGATCAAATATGTGAAGAGAATATGACAAAATTGCCAGTTCTATGTGCCTGAAATTGTGTATGAAAATGTGTATGCACATTTTTGCTTTATTTTTCCATAAAAATATATGCAAATTAATTCAAATTAACAAAATTAGCATCAGTTTGAAACAAATGTCTCAACTTCAGTACAAATGGCTGAGGCAGCAATTTTCTTTGCTGTTGATGCTGGGGACCACTGAGCTGGGTCCCCAACCCTATTTTGTATTTTGTGTGTGTGGTGGGGGGCTGGGGGATTGAAGCCACGGCCTTGTGCGTGCAAGGCAAGCACTCTACCAACTGAGCTATATCCCCAGCCCAAAACTTTCTCATTTTGGAGGTGGGGGTTACCAGGGATTGAACTCAAGGGTATTTGACCACTGAGCCCCATTTCCAGCCCAATTTTGTATTTTATTCATTTTTGTGGTGCTGGAGATTGAACCCAGGGCCTTGTGCATGCCAGGTAAGCACTCTACCAAGTGAGCTATATCACCAGCTCCTATTTTGTATTTTATTTGGAGTCAGGGTCTCACTGAGTTGCTTAGCACCTGTTTTTTTTTTTTTTTTTTTTTTTTTTTGGTACCAGGAATTGAACTCAGGCACACAATCACTGAGCCACATTCCCAGCCCTATTTTGTATTTTATTGAGACAGGGTCTCACTCAGTTGCTAAGCACCTTGCCCATTGCTGAGGCTGGCTTTGAAATCCTAATCCTCCTAATCCTGCCTTAGCCTCTCCTAGCCCCTGAGATTACAGGCGTGTGCCACCATGCCTGGCAAGAAATACACTCTTTATTATCCAGATATATCTGTATTATACACTTTTTGTTTAATCAAATAAATGTGAAAGCACTATGAGAAGTTAAAAAGTTATACACTCCCCCCAAAACAAAACAAGAACTGAAAGTATACTCAGAGTATGAACTCAGGCCCCTCATTTTCTGGTTGGTGACCTTTGTGCTTCAGTTTCCTCATTACAGTATTAATAAATAGTACCTACTTCCAGTTGTGAGGCATTAACAGCATCTATCATTAGCCACAAATTTTTTGTTGGTTTTTTTTTTTTTTTTTTTGAGAGAGAGAAAGGAGAATTTTTTTTTTAAATATTTATTTTCAGCAGACACAACATCTTTGTTTGTATGTGGTGGTGAGGACCGAACCCGGGCCGCACGCATGCCAGGCGAGCGTGCTACCGCTTGAGCCACATCCCCAGCCCATAGCCACACCATTTTTAGAATGCTTTACTCTTAGGAAATGTCAAGATTTTGTTAAGTAATTGTAGACCCATGTGAATAAATGATCATACCTGTAAATAATTGGTATTGCCAAATCCAGATTGTCTTTTTTTCCTTATATGAAGACTAGGGGCTGGGGATGTAGCTTTGTAGTAGGGTGCTGACCCAGGCCCATTTGAGACCCTGGGTTCAAACCCCAGCACTGCAAACAACAAAAAAACAGAACTATCTTTTCTTTATCAGTTTCACCAAAAATATTCCTAAAGTACAAGTCATTAAAAATCTTTTAAGGGGCTGGAGTTGTGGCTTAGTGGTAGAGCACTTGCCCAGCATATGTGAGGCCCTGGGTTCGATCCTTAGCACCACATATAAATAAATAAATAAAAATAAAGGTATTGTGTCCAACTATAACCAAAAAAATAAATAAAAATAAAAAGTCTTTTAAAACAATTTAAGGTTTAAAAAGTAAATAGGGGCCTAGTACAGTGGTGCACACCTATAATCCCAGCAACTGGGGAGGTTGAGCAGGAGGATGGCAAGTTCAAGGCCAGACTCAGCAATTTAGTGAAGCCCTAAACAACTTATTGAAACCCTGTCTCAAAATAAAAAGAACTGGAGATGAGACTCAGTGTTATATACCCTGGATTAAATCCCTAGTAAAAAATAAAAAAATAAAAATTAATATATTTTTTTTTAGATAAAAAGAGTTGGGGCTGTTGCTCAGTGGTTAAGCACCCCTGGTTTCAATCCCTGGGATCAAAAACAAACAAAACTGAATAGGGTTAAAAAAGAAAAATGAAAACTATCAAAGGATCAAACATTGAGTACTGAATGTGCAAGTTTTTCTGGCAAACAGGGAACCAAGTCTACCACAGATCTAGATAGGCTTTCAAGATGTGGTTTGGAAGAAAAGAAGTGAGGTAAATCTTTTAAAACCAAAAGACCATGAATTACATCCCACATTAAAAAAAAAAAAAAATTCTTGCTAAGCACAGTGGCACACACCTGTAATCTCAGCTATTTGGGAAGCTGAGGCAGGAAGATCACAAGTTTGAGGACAGCTTAGGCAATTTAGCAAGATGATGTTTCAAAATAAAATTTAGATAACTGGGCTGGGGATGTGGCTCAAGCGGTAGCGCGCTTGCCTGGCATGCGTGCGGCCTGGGTTCGATCCTCAGCACCACATACAAACAAAGATGTTGTGTCCGCCGAAAACTGAAAAATAAAAATAAATATTAAAAAAGAAAATTTAGATAACTGGGGATGCAGCTCAGTAGTAAAAGTGCCCCCCTTGGGTTGGAGTTGTAGCCACAAGCTGCTGGTCGAGCACTTGTCTAGCATGTGTGAGGCTTTGATTATCAGCACTACATATAAATAAATGAATAAAATAAAGGTCCATCAACATCTAAAAAAATGTTTTTTTAAAAAATGCCCCTGGGTTCAATCACTAGTGGGGGAAAGTCTCAGACTGGGGATATAGCTCAGTGGTAGAGCATTTGGTTAGCCCACAAATCCTGGGTTCAATCCCTAGTAATATTGTAACAAACCCAGCCTCAGCAACTTATCAAGGCCCTGGCTCTAAAAGCTCCCTCTCACCTTCTGAATGTACCCCTTATTGCTCTAAGGCTTATTTATTTTTAATATTTTTTTTAGTTGTAGATGGACACAATGCCTTCATTTGTTTTGTTTTGTTTTGTTTTGTTTTGTTTTTTAATGTGGTGCCGCGGATCGAATTCAGTGCCTCATGCAAGCTAGGCAAGCGCTCTACCACTGAGCCACAACCTGACCCAAGTTTTTTTTTAAAGTTTTTTTTTTTTTTTTCCTCTCCTCTCTGCTCTTCCCCCATCCCTAACAAGATTAGGGAGAAGTGTTATCTTTTCTTCCCCAAGTTAATTGCCCTTGTACACACCCACTACAAGAAGGAGATGCCTACAGAGGATCTGGGAAGTGAATATCTCCCAAATTAACAAGTGAATCCTAACACGCCTTTAGGGTACCCTGGGACCCCCCCTTAGGATTCCCTACCATAGCACACCTGGAAGGTAATCCTTGAAAGGTTCCTTTAAAACCTTCCAGTACTTCCTGATCAAGAGTCACAACCTTTGGAACTGGAGTCCTCTGTGTTCTCCTTTGCTAACAAAGCAATAAACTTTTTTCCTTTTTTGCTCAAAACGGTGTCCTCATTATTAAATTGGCGTTGATTGCATTAGGGGCAGGGACCGAGTTTTTTGTTACACTGTGATGGCAAAACCAGACCTGGTTGTGATGGTGGGCTGGGGCTGTAGCTCCGTGGTGGAGCTCTTGCCTAACGTGTGAAGCACTGGGTTCAATCCTCAACACCACATAAAGATAAATAAATAAATAAAATAAAGGTATTGTGTCCGTCTACAACTAAAAATATATTTTTAAAAAATGAGTTAGGTCCAGTGGCACACACCTGTTATCCCAGTGACTCCAGAGGCTGAGGCAGGAGGATCATGATTTCAAACCCAGCCTCAGCATCTTATCAAGGCCCTGGCTCTAATAAAATATATAAAAAGGGCTTGGATGTGGCTTAGAGGTTAAGCGCCACTGGATTAAATCCCTTGTTAAAAAAAAAAAAAAAAAGTTATGGTCATAAACCAATGCCTGGGGAAAGGGTCAGTTTTGTCCTCCCTACCCCCTAGCCTTTCTCTGGGAAGCATAATTAACCATGAGTCCCTACCTTTTGGGTTATAAATAACTGCCTTAGGAGCCGGACTGCACTCTTGAAATGTAAAAGAAGCCTGTGAAAAGAGCCCTTTCTTCTTACCTGTTTCTGTAAGCAAGCTGTATGTTAGAGACCCTGCACCAGGCTGCCAGTTGCATAAATTAGGGCTTTTTTTCTTTTTCTTTTTTTTAAGAGGAAAAAGCTCCAATGATAGGATGGGTCTAAAATGATGCCAAACAACCTATAAATGTAGACACTGTGAATCAGGGCTCAGAATTTGGAGTTTCGTTTTCCTCTGGGCCTGCTGGCATGATAAAACA